GTTAGTTAGTTGGTACATAAGAGTTTTATTATTTTGTAGTTAATGTTATTTGAAATATTGCATAATTTTAATAGGAAGAATTAAAGGTTCTTTACCTTTGTTTCTGTAGTTCTTTATGTCTTTTTTAGTATTTCTTCTCATATTATAGTTGTCTGTCTCTCCCTTCCCCATCTTCTCTCTACCCTAGTTGTGAATAACAGGACTTGTTTCTTTTCTTTTTTAAAAAAAATATATTTTATTGATTTTTTCACAGAGAGGAAGGGAGAGAGATAGAGAGCTAGAAACATCGATGAGAGAGAAACATCGATCAGCCGCCTCCTGCACATCTCCTACTGGGGATGTGCCCACAACCAAGGTACATGCCCTTTACCGGAATCGAACCTGGGACCCTTGAGTCCGTAGGCCGATGCTCTATCCACTGAGCCAAACCGGTTTCGGCAGGACTTGTTTCTTATTCATCTTTGTATCCCCAATTTTTGATATTTAAGGAGTACTTAGTAAATGTCCATTAAAGTAAGAGTTAATTTTAGGAGTAGTGTGGATGTGTAACTGATGGAGAGGGAGTATATGTAGCATAAGGCTTAGGAGCAAAGAATTTTGTTCTCCATCACGTATTAGCCGATGTGACCGTGGTCAAGTGACTTATTTTCTCTGTGCCTCAGTTTTCGTATCTAAAAAAATGTCATAATAGTACCTACCTCATAGGTTTGTTGTAAAGATTAAATGAGCTAATATATGTAAAGCACTTAGGATAGTACCTGACACTTAAATGCTAGAAAAACATTAAGTGTTATTATTAATTCTTCAGAATTTTGAGAAAATTAGGTTTTGAGAACTTTTTTGTTGCTTAAACTAGGGAGTGCACATAACATCTGGACTTCTTGGATAATCAGATAAAAACAATCTAAGCTGGGAATGAACTATATCAGAATGACTTGATTAGAGCTGTTCAGAATTGAGGTAAGACTACCCCTGGACTTACGAAGCCAGCCTATGTAATCTCTGGTTTTCCTAAGCTGCCTCTTTGTATAGATTTGTATTTAAATATTCTCAGCCACTTCTTATATTCAAGTTTCTACCCCTGAATCTACAAACTTATTTGCAATTGCACTTACCTTTCATCTTTCTTGTTTAAAAAATATGTAGAGAGAAGCAATTTTACTATTGTCTAAAGCCTGTGTTCCTGATTCCTCAGTCAATCATCACAGGTTTTAGACCTCCCATAGATAGGCACTGGGGATACCAAAAGAATAAGACAGATGGTCCCAGCCCTCCTGAGCTTATGTACCAGTGGGCAGGACAGATGATTTAAAGTGCAATTATAATAAAGACAGTGTGGTAAGTACTACGGGGGCTTTATAGAGTGCTGCTGTAGGAGCATAAATACTTTTGAAACATGGGAGGATGAAATGCCCAAGGGCAGTAGAAATTGAGACAAGAGAATCCTGAGGAAAATCAACATTAAAAGATTGTGGAGAATGAAAAGTTGCTGGTGAAGGAGGTAGAAGGGAAACAAGGAGAGTCTGGTGTCACAGAAGCTGAACAGAGAAGTGCATCTCAGGACAGAGGTAGTGATCAAGAGATACTGCTAAGCAGCCAGGTAAGGTCCTTTTCCTTCTTTCCTTTTCTAATATTTGGCTCTATAAGTTATTTCTTCTGTCTAAATTCCATGTATTCCTTGTTATTGTCAGTTCAGTTCTGAACTCACACCATGAGTGTTTGTATGGTGAGTTTGGTAGGTGTGGAATACTGCATCCTCTGAATTTTGTTTCTGAGTGTCAAATTAGCACAAGTTCGGGTAATTAAGGGATTTGTCTCATTTGTGTCTGCATCTATTTGCCTCTCGTGTTGGGATGGGGAAAGTTGAGGTAGCTAAGGATACTTCGGTCTCCTTTTATCCTTGTCCAGTGAAACTTGTTCAAATCCATTTAACAAAATTCCTCGAATTCAGATTTCCTTCACTTTTCTAGGAGTTGTTTTAACACCCTGTTGCCAACTTTGGACTTCCCATGCAGTGCTAAACCCCCTCAAATTTGATTTCTTCCTTCCTGATGAAATGGAATCTAAACTTGTAAAGCTAGTTAAAAGGCTTCTTATTGCTACGTAAGTCCAGTGAATTTTGAAGTTGTTATCTCAACTTCTAGGCAGTTTTTGACATTGTTGACCACTTCATCCTTCTTAAAATGTGTTTGTCTTTTGTGAGGCACCATATTCTTTGGTTTTCTTCCAGTTTCTCTGGCCATTCCTTAGTTTATTTCCTAGTTTTCCTCCTCTGACTCGTAAACATTGGTATATTGGCTCTGTAGCCTAGGCTCTAATCAGTCATTCTGCATATTTCCTGGGTGACCTCATTCATTACTGTGGCATTAATTAACCTAATTAAAGGTTTTGGATAGCAAGTAAGCCATAAAACACTGAAGTAAATCTATAAAGATTCATGTTTTTTTATCTGTACATTTTATTTTTTAATATATTTTTACTGATTTCAGAGAGGAAGAGAGAGATAAAAGCATCAATCATGATAGAGAGTCACTGATTGGCTGCTTCCTGCACACCCCCACACTGGGGGCTGAGCACACAACCTGGACATGTGCCCTGACCTGAATCGAACCGTGACCTCCTGGTTCATAGGTCGAGGCTCAATCACTGAGCCATGCCAGCTGGGCTGTGCAGTTATTCAGATTATCAAAGTAGTTTCTAAAAATTGTGTTATGTGGTTCCATAAACAGTTCCAATGGAATATTTTGTTTGATAAACACTGCCCTCCTGTGGTTAAATTAAGCTAAATGTTTTTATAAAACTAGTATTTTCATTTATATTAAACCTGTGGTAAAAAAAAATAATATCATTGCAATACACTGATAATATTGTAATAGTAATGTAATGGAATACTGTATTTTTGCTCAGAAATATATGTAGCCATGTTGTTTTCTCTTCAGTTTTTCCTCTTCAGTTTTTCCTCTTTGGTTTCTCTGGTGTGTGTCTACATTTTTCTCATTCTGTCTTTACACATTTTCCTATTAAAAATAAGTAAATTAAAAGAGTCAAATGAAAATGAAAAATATTAAGCTATTGAAGGGAGGGAAGGTATATTTAAATGTAGACATGTTAAAACAAAAAGAGCCCTGGCTGGTGTGGCTCAGTTGGTTGTGTGTTGTCCTGTGCACCAGGAGGTTGCCTGTTTGATTCCTAGTCACGGGCACATGCCTGGGTTGCTGGGTCCATCCCTGGTAGGGGGTGTGCGGGATGTAGCCGCCCGATGTTGCGCTCTCGCGTAGATATTTCTCTCTCTTTGTAAAAATCACTATTATTATTTTTTAATTAAAAAATGTTTTTATTGATTTCAGAGAAGAAGGGAGAGGAAGAGCGAGATAGAAACATCAGTGATGAGAGAGAATCATTGATCAGCTGCCTCCTTCATGCCCCACACTGGTGATTGAGCCTGCAACCCGGGCAAGTGCTCTGACCAGGAATTGAACTGTGACCTCCTGGTTCATGCATCGATGCTTAACCACTGAGCCACGCCAGCTGGGAAATAAATTATTCTTTAAAGAAAAAAGACCAATCAGTTATAATACATGAAATTAATAGAAATCTCCATGGAAAAACAACAGAAATGAAAATATGAAAAATAGACTGGAAAAGTATTTGCAGTAAATGTGACAGTATAAGTTTAACAAATTTAGTATGAAAATAGAACTCTTATTGACAAAGGAGGCAAAAGCATACAATAAAGTAGAACAGTCTCTTCAATAAATGGTGTTGGAAAAATTGGACAGATACATACTGTTTGGGTCTGTTCTGCATATGCGCCTCCTAGTGGCTAATTTGAGAACCAGATAAGTAGTATGTTGAGGGTCGGAGCCCCATATGCATAGTTTGGGGTGACCTCAGGAGTTTTTTAAAGAACTTTATGATATCTCTTTCTTCAGCTCCTTTTTTTTTTTTTTTTTTTTTTTTTTTTTTTTCACTTTCTGGCTTCTAGAGACCCTTCTCCCTTGTCCTGTCACTGGATAACTGGATTTGTCATTTCTGTTTTGCTACACACTTCCACAATCACATCTGCCTTCCATGCCAAGCAGCAAGATGGTAGAGAACGAATATAAGCCATGAGGATTCCCTTCACACTCATGGGACCTTTCTTGGAAATTTAGGTCCCTGTCTATCCATTGCTATTATCATCACTGCCACAACTGCTGCCTTTAGATTGCCTGGGGACAGGGGCCAAGAGAAAGGGAAAACAAAACAAAATCCCAGAGGGTCCTCCCTCTGCTCTTCAGACCAAAAAGGAAAAGTCCTTTCTTGAAATCATTTCTGCCTGCACTTAGAGTGTAGTTTTGAGTATGGACTGCCATTGAGTCCAGGCTAAGTAGTCCCATGGTACTTCTACTTGTGGTTTCCTCCCTCAAGCCAACTGCTACCATTTCAGAGTCTTCAGATAGCTGCTGCATGTATTCTGTTTAGGTTTTTAGTTGTATATATTCAGTGGGAGAGACAGGATAAACTGTGCTTATTCTCTAACAGAACACAGATACCATTTTAATTTCATTATAACTGTATTAATTTGTTTTGGTTATGCATTTTTGAGCATCCATGCTGTATCATTAGGCTTTGCTGGAAATGGATAGTCTTTAAGGTGCTTATAGTAGGTACACAGGCCTATGATGTAGGGGTAGAGACAGAAAGTAAACACTATTTCATATTATGCACTAATAATTAATAATTGAGTTATTAATCATACCCTTTTTATCTATTTCTGCTTCAGGTTTGACTTGTTTGTGACTAAAGGAGAGAAGATCCTATTTATATTTCATTAACTTTCCAATTTTCTTATCCCAAATATAAGGGATGAAAAATCTCTGGATATGTATGTGCTGGATGAAATTAATACATACTTTTAATAAGAATAAGGAATATAGTTATATATATATATATAATTATAATAAGAATAAGAACTTACAATAAGAAAAATAATTTATTATTATATACTTGTTTCTCAGGTCTTAGAAAAATACCCCAATACACCCATGAGTCATAAAGAAATTCTTCAAGTTATCCAGAGAGAAGGACTAAAAGAAATCAGGTGAGTTATTTAAATATTATTAGTACAGTCCAAATTAATATTATAATTATAGTCCATGATTAGAGTATTTTATAGTATATAGCAGTGTATTTCAATCCTGAAGATTATTTAGTGATAACTGCATTGTTAATTTTTTATTTATTCAGTTGTCAGATCTTTGGCATTTTCAATCATAGCATAGTTATAAAACCAAAAGTAAGTTTTAATAAATTCTTAGAAGGTAACTATCTCTACACCCATGCACTTTAATTCTTATGCGGCCTAGAGCCATCTTCAAGCCTTCATCTATCAATTCAGGCTTTTGATTTAGTAAGTTTGGTCATTAGCAGATAAAAAGTACTCTAGTGCCAGGAGAGTGCTAGAGGTAGGCAGTCTAGGAAAAAATAACTTTGGCCACAAAGAATACAATGGAAAATATACATATAAGGAATATATATTTTAGATATTAGTCTTATTATATTCAAATAAAGCAGCCTGGGGTAAATTAATATAGGATTGAAGGTAAAAATACTTTAATTTCTAAGAGCCTCAATTATATTACAACTAGAGGCCTGGTGCACAAAATTTGTGCACAGGTAGAGTCCCTCTACCTGGCTGGCGATCGGGGCCGATCAGGGCCATCTTGCCCAGTCCCGATTGGGGCCAATTGGGGCCAGTGGCCGGGGAGGGACCGTGGGAGGGTTCCAGGGCATGTCCAGCCCCATCTCACCCAGTTCTGATCAGCCGGACCCCAGCAGCAAGCTAACCTACCGGTTGGAGCATCTGCCCCCTGGTGGTCAGTGCACGTCATAGCGACCGGTTGGTCCACTGCTTGGTCAGACACTTAGGATATTAGGCTTTCATATATATAGATTGTAACTCACGATGCAGAATGCTCAGCACGCACTTTCCCTCCAGCCCCTGGTCTTGGAGACCTCATGTCCTTCCTAGGCTCTGCTCACCCTCTTCAGTTGCCACACGAAGTAAATTGCATTGCATCGTGTGCGTGAAAACCCTTTGCAGGCTCCATGGGTGTGTCTTTACTTCACTGCAGTTCTGATTACCCCAACATAAGGAGAGACACCCTCATTATCAGGTAACACCATCGTAGTAAGACCCCTGCTCAGCCTACTGCAGCGGTTTTAAATAGGCCATAGATGGTTTGGTTCAGTGGATAGAGCCCCGGCCTGCGGACTGAAGGGTCCTGGGTTCGATTCTGGTCAAGGGCACATTCCTGGGTTGTGGGCTCAATCCTCAGTAGGGGACATGTGGGAGGCAGCAAATCGATTCTTTCTCATCATTGATGTTTCTATCTCTCGCTCTCTCTGCCTTCCTCTCTGAAATCAATAAAAATATATTAACAAAAATAAAAATAAATAGGCCATGAATTAAACGTCACTGCTCTCCATCCATCCAGTCCCCTCACACCCTCTTTTGTCTTCGGCCCCCCCCCCCCACACACACACTGCTGGGGGTCTGTAAAATGGGGTCAGGATTTCTACTTCAACCAAGGACGATGTTTCTGCATGGCCCTCCTTCCCCACCCATCTCTGTTCCCAGTCCTGTGGGGTCTCTCCCTCCCTCCCTTCCATCTAACTTGGTGGGCCCTGCCTTGCCCCCTCCTCCTACGACCTTTTGTCTGAAGCCTCCCCCTTTCTCCTCTGGGGGTGGAGCTCCCCAAAGGCTCTGCGGGGGCGGGGTGAGGCTGTGCAGGGCAGGGCTGTGTGAGGCGGGGCGGGGTTGTGCAGGGCGAGCCCAGGTGGGGCCTTGGAGGAGAGCTGGGGTGACGGGTCATGGGGGGTTAAGGGGGGACAGGGAGGGACGTGGAGCCTGTCCCCTGGGAGAGGCATCGGGCTCCTCAGCTGCCCCCACCCAGCAGCTTTTCTAGGCCCCTGCGCAGCTGTCACCCTCTGCCCCTTACTGCCTCCTGCTTCCTTTCAAATTTGGACTTGGTTTCTCCAACTCAGCCCCGCCCCCCACACTGCTGCGTCCCTGGGATTCCGAGGCCAAGGCGTGCCTGGCCTGTCCCCTGTAATGGTGCTACCCACTCTCCTGGAGTAGTTAGTGAAACTTAACAAATAAAAAGAAGCATCTCAGAAGATTATAAGTTGTTCACTGAGAACACCACAGGCTGCTAATGACCATGCCAGCCTCCCGCGCCACTGGGACCCTCCTGGCTCCTGCCCCCGCCCTCCTCGCCCAAGGCTTGGGCCAAACCCTGGGAGCTTCCTGACAGCTCTCACCTCACACCTCACTTTCCAGTCCAGCCCATTAGCGCCCGTAGCAAGCTAACCTGTCAGTTGGAGCGCCTGCCCCCTGGTGGTCAGTGTACGTCATAGCGACTGGTCCAGCGGTCGAACTCCCAGCGGAACTCTGGTCAAGGGGACAATTTGCATATTAGACTTTTATTATATACTAGAAGCCCAGTGTGCGAAATCGTGCGGCCCTGCCCACCCGCATGCATCACCATGCTGGCAGCCCCGCGCACCCGCGTGCACCCCACCCATGCCCTCGCAGCCCTGCCCACCCGCACAGGCCTTGCTGCCAGCCTTGCTGCGATCGGAGCCTGTGGGCTGTGCAGTGTGAGCCGTGAGCACCACCCCACCGCCGCAAGCAACTCACAGGCGAGGGGGGGAGGGACCAAGAGGTGCTCCATGCACCTCCTGGTGACCAGTCATTGGGCGTTATGGCGTTATGGCCACGGGCTTTGTTATAATATAGATAGGGTAGGATATAATAGTCACTGTCCATAATTAAGACCCCTTGTCATAAAAAAATGTTAAAATTATGTTCAACATTATTTGTAGATTAAGGCAGAAATCTGGGAGTCTACATTAGAGATATTTTCATTGAGATAGAAAAGCTCGTACTTTAAAACTGCTACTAGTTGTTCTCAATGGGAGGCCGTATTATTTAACACCCTTAGGGAACGTGTTCAGAATTTTGGGGAGCTATTTTTTTGGGGGGAGGGGAGCTGTTTTTTGATTGCCACAATGACTAGAAAGTAACAGGGATGCTATATGTCTTCCATTGAAAAATTGTTCACCTCAAATGCCAGTAGTATTCCTATTGAGAAATAGTGAGTTATGCTGATACACTTGTAAATAAACAACAAAATATTGTAGATTTTCATTCTCATTTTCTTTTCTTTACCATGAAATTCAATTTGAGATTTTTTTATTGCCTTTCTTTGCTAATGAAGTTAAAAACTTTTGACTTGTGGCCAAATGTCAGTAGGTTGGGAATAAATTAAGTTTGCTTTATTAATATAAAACAATGAAGTATAAATTAGTATAACTTGCTTTATATAACGTATGCCCCTGAAAAATTGTGTGAACATTTGTAAATTAAAACATTAAAATGTATTTGAAATATGTTAGCTCTTAAATGTACTTTTTGTAAATTATTTTAAAATGTATCAATGATATAATTTCAAGTTGTTATTTGAATTAGTCATATTAGATTAGAGTTAAAGCACCATACCCATTTAATCACAGATCACTTTGTATAAGGCTATAGGAGAAGAGGATAAGTGATTATTGTGATTAAGGAATGAATTAAGTTAAGGTATTCTAATATCCGTTTATAACACTATTGGGTCTTATAGAATGGGATGAGCTAGGGATTTCATTTCTTTTCATAAAATTAGACTTGATACACACTGGGGAAATCGGTCAGGAAATCTGGTATGTAGAGATCAGACTTCACCAGTCCTTTAGGTCAAAATGCCAATTGCAGGTTCATCCAGCTCTAACATAGTAAGGCTCTGTGACTTTAAACTTGTCATTATCATTTCTAGGGAGTAGGCAAGAATAGTAAATAAGTAAAGAAAGTAAATAAAAAAAAGAACAGAAGGAAGAACTTACATGGTGGTGCAGTTACGTGACCACAACACAGTTCTTTTTAAGTCATCAGTGACTTATATTTTGCCAACTCCATGGGACTTTAGTTCTCACCTCTCTTGTGGGCATTATTTATCACAGCTGACTACTGCTTCCTTCTTGAAACTGTTTTGTTGCCTGAAGTGACCACAAACATTCCTGCTTTCCTTCCTCTCTAAGTTTTTCTTCTCTCTTTTTCTCATTACCTTCTCTCCACCTTAACGTGTACTTTCGTCCATTCTCATAGCTTTAAATGCCAGTTTTGGCTTGTCAGTTCCCAAATATGTAGGCAATTTGCTGCCCACTGCAGCCTTGATACCTGCTGATGCTTTAGCAAGGAATGTGCTTTCCCTCACTTAACTCTTATTTATTTTTCAGGTGTCAGTTTGAATGTCTTTTTCAGAAAACTTTGACTTTCTGGTCTAGATTACATTTTCCTTTTTTAGTTTATTATAGTGTTCTGTGTTGTTTCTTCATGGCACTTAAGGTTTAAAATTACATATTGTTGTGATATTATGTAGCTTCTCTATAGTTGAAGCTAGCTCCATTAGGGCAGTGGCACTGTTTGCTCTACCTGCCCCGCCCTGCCTCCCCTCCCCCATAGTCTTTGGCATATAACTGATATTGAAAACCTATTTATTAATGAATGTATGAAATATAAGTTGGAAGATCACATTCAAATGTAGTTATAACTTATTCTCTTGTTGCTGTGATATGTCAAATGGTAATCTTATAATCTTTAAAGTTTTTAGACAGGTTATAGAATGAAATGGATACTGTGCTTATTGAAGATGTGCTATTTTTTTACAGTTTTATTTTTATTTCCCAGTCCTCAATACATGGATTTCAACACTTTTTCCCTTTGTAGTTTTTTTTTTTTTAATATATTGTATTGATTTTTTACAGAGAGGAAGGGAGAGGGATAGAGTTAGAATCATCGATGAGAGAGAAACATCAATCAGCTGCCTCCTGCACACCTCCTACTGGGGATGTGCCCACAACCAAGGTACATGCCCTTGACCGGAATCGAACCTGTGACCTTTCAGTCCGCAGGCCGACGCTCCATCCACTGAGCCAGACCAGTCAGGGCTCCCTTTGTAGTTTTTTGTCTGCTTTCCCATTTTGAAGAATCTTGCTTAATTTGTTTCAGATGTTGATGAGTAAATAGTTCCTGATGTGTTACAGAATTTAAAAATCCTTTTTCTTTTGTGATAAGATACTTTGACTTATGTTACAGCCTAAGTTTATAAGTCAGGTACTGAAAACAGTTTTTTAAATATAAAGGTTTACTTTTGGAAAATTCCAGACTAAAAAGTGTGCATTGTCCAGTATAAATTATAAATAGTCCTTCCAACATTCC